GGGGGGGGGGGGGGGGGGGGGGGGGGGGAGTTATGAAAAGTATGAAAAACACCCATCGATTCCACTGCTGCCGCGAAGCATAAAATTGAAAATGCGGCAGCAATGGGGAGAAGAAAAATCGGCGTTCGATCCCACTACCACTTCGAGGCTAGACTAGTCCCACATTTCTCCCCTTCATTCATTTGCCATTCATCTGTAATCGCCGGGTGACTGCTTTGGTGTCTTTCCTTCCAATCAGAGAAGCGGTTGAGCCGTTCTCGCCTCTCGTGGATCTCTAACTGATATTTTCATCTCTCTACTTGCAGGGTGCGTCTTTTTGCTGTACGTTTTCCCGTAACGGATATATTTTATCCGGAGTCAAAGGTATACTTGCGGCTTCGATATGATAGGTGAAAGGGGACACTCAGTCATAAAATACCAGGGAATTTCCTCACCTGAGACAAGATGGATGAAGGGATTTTCCTTGGAAATCGAATTTTTCGTAATTTCGTTTCTTCGCGGCGCAAACTCTCTCGAGTCGAAATGATGTTTTTTTTTATTCAAAGACAGCCGAAGCCAACGAGATTCCAACCGAGGGCCCATGAATGACTTCAAGAAGGAAGACCGGAGATGATTGAAATGTAGAAACCGTTGTATGCATCATGTAGATAGGCATCAAAAAACAGGTAAAGAACACCACAGATCGCACATAACAATCTGAAAGTGTGTTTCATCCTCCATCCTTCTCCATCCAACGACAACCGAAGCCTGCCCCAAACGGTCGGAAAGCGACCGACGAGGCGGCCAGATGGCGGGCCCGGTCGCTTTTCTGGTCGCTTTTCCTCGCCCCGTCCAACCTTAGCGTGTCGCTCGCTTCTGGATAGAACACTGATTTTTTTCCTACTCGGACGAAAATACCGACTCGAGAATACTTTCTGCTCGAGAAGCCTCGTTTGCTATATCTTTCCAGCAGCTGATTTTCGGATTTCCCAAACGTCGGCGCGAGCGATCGAGGAGCAGGTCAGGACCCTTCGATGGAAATTCCTGGCGCAGTCCGTCGAACCTCTAACAGGTCGTGCCTGAAACGGGCTTCAACTTCGACTCTGATTCTCGATGCATTTTCTCGGAATCGCCATGGATTACTGGGGAGGCAAATCGGCATCGAATATCCGGAAGTATATCGAGGTTCGATTCTTAGAAACGCTATCTAATCCCGACAAGAAGCGTCGAATCTCTGGATGGTGATATTAAAGTCAAATTTGCTTTGATTTTGAATACTTCATAAACAAAAAAATTTTCCGAGCGAAGGAAGAAATCCGGAATCAACTATGCGCTGCATTTCAAGAATGCAAGAATGCGCTGCATTTCACTTAACATTTCAATTTGCCTTACTTGTCTGGCTCATTCTTTCCTCATTCCTTTCTTCTCTCATTTCCCCCCCTTCCCCCCCTCCTCCCCCTCTCCCCCCCTCCTCCTCCTCTATTTGCGTCTCGTTTCTTTTGCCCCACTGTCTGGATTTTACGTTTCACGGTGCTCTGTGCTTCCGTGAGATGGGGAGCAAAGAAGGTGTTTCAACGAATCGCTGTGTCAAGTTCGCCATTTCTGTGTAACAGTCAGCACTTGCGGTTCAAGATTTTATGCTGTTAATCCCTTCGCTGCGGCTATTTCATACAATTCATACAATTTGGAAGACAGTCAAATGTTTGCTGCATGACTTTTTTTTGCTTTACTTGCTGCAAATCGCGACGCAAATGTAACTCCACAAGAAAAGAATAAAATGGAAACGCGTGCAGACAGCACGCAGCGAGAGTTAGGGCGCGACGCGTTTGCACGTCACGTCGAAGCGAACTCGAAGTGGAACCACACGTGGTATGCTTCTGAAAGTCTCATCCACCAGAACGAGCCGGGGTGGGTTGGACTCCCGTGAAAATTCCTGGAAAGCCATCTCGATCGTGCGGACTGACCGACGAGGGAGTCGCCGGTGCCATTACAACCGTGAGATGGCCGAGGGGGCGGTGGCCCGTTTTCAACTTCCATTTTCATACGCGCACAGTCCAACGATACCTCCTGGGCGGGGATTGGCAGATAGGTGAAGAAATCACGACAGGATAGCGCATTTCAATAATCGAGAATGGTTTTTCTGCATTAATTTTTTACTTCTTTAATAGACGCTTCCTTGGAGACGTCTCTGATTCTACACTGCCTATTAATCGTTTTGGGCTTAAAGGGAGCGAGGCGGAGAAAAGGCGAAAATGTGCTGAAGTGTATATGTCCTTTTCTTAAGGGTTTGAATATTTGAATATTCAAACCCTTAAAAAAGGACGATATGATATAAATCGTGACCGGAGCACGTGCTCAGCTACCACGCCGTAAAACATTATGCCTAAACTTTGCCTTCCTCTACGCATATTTCTGTGGCTCCAGCTTCAATTTTATTATTTTATTTTACCGTCATCCCTGTTATTATTTCGTGAGGATATTCTTTTTCTTAAATGACTGAAGGATTGCCTGTAGTATTACGGTGGAGTAATTACATTTCCAAAGAAACCACGCTTGCAAGAAAATCAATGAGAAGCTGGTAAATTTTAGACAGAGGTTCTGTTTCATACGGAGTTTAGCTAAGTTTGACTGCCTTCTACAACTATTGCATCCAAATTTTGAGACGATGTTCCTCTCTGCTCAGGTTACATCCATACGATGATTAAAAAAAAACGAATAGTTGAATGGACGAGAGAAGGAAATAGACAAACGAACCAGTCGCTCCTTGGAGAGGAAGAGTAAAGGGAGAGCCAGAAGCGGGACGAGGATGACGACCCAGGTCCTCCAGAAGGGGAATACGTGGGAGGTCCACCATATGTTCTTCGGAGCCGCAGACCCCATCGCGATCGCCTCCGATGGACTCTGAAAGTACTACCCCACAAACACCGCTATCCAAGGTTCTCAGTCTGAAGTCACGACCGCTCGACCGCGCCCACGTAAAACTGGCACATCGGAAAATAAGAGAAAAGGTATTTACTTCGGTCGTCTCCAGCGTAAAAGCTCAGGCCAGAAAAACGCACAAACGACAACTTTTGTTCAAAAAGAAATTTGGATGATTACGGCGTGGCAGAGGGCGACGACACCACGGACGAGTGGCCAGCGGAATGGCGCATCTGTACCTGGACTGGTCTTCTAGTAGTCATGAGAGTTTCGGGGCGTTAATCCCTTCCTGGCAGGCTACCGGATGGCTTCTTTGCGAGGAATATGTCGCTCTGTCTAACTTTTTCCCTTCAGCCTTTGCTCCCCGTATCTATTGCTTATATGTATCATCCTGAGGGTTCTTGATGTTGGTTGCTCGTTGATCCTGTTCCTGTCTGGAGCCTTCTGATCTCAGCTTTTTTTTTTTACTGGAGATGACGTGAGAGTCAACCTTCACTCTTTTCTTTTGTACAGGTATATTCACTCATCTAAATCAGACCAACATAACGTTTTCTTTTTTCCCCCAAAAGGTATCACATGAACGAACGAGTACTTTTGAGTCCCTGAGTGCATAACCATCACTTCAACATTTTTGCATTGAATGAGATTTCAAACTCTCAGGGATGGTGTTTAGATGTTTCAAATAATTTTCGTACCTATAATGGTATAAAGATGTGTTTGTGAGTGGATATGAATGGCGTGTGTGTTGGGGGGGGGGGGGCGTGTGGAGGCGTGAGCGTGCGGAAGTGGGTGTGTATGGGTGTGTGGGGTGTGTGTTTCAGGTGTATCTGAGGGTGTTTGTGGAGGCGTGAGTGTGTGGAAGTTAATGTAAAATGTAAAATCACATGAGATAATTTGAAATTCAAGAGATGCCACTCTGGTCAGCCTCTTTGTCAGCATCCGCCGTCAAGCACAGAGAGACTACCACCGGAATCTAAAGCGACGGATCTGCGACGATCTGGGCACATCGCGTGTCTCGCTCCTACCTCCATGAAGCTCCGAAGCGATGAGCTTGGAGAAAAGGAATGTAGCAACTCCGAGGCCATTCGTCTAGAGTTCCTCGGCGTACGAGGTCTCGGGACGAGTTGACTCCGGAGCCTTGCGCGTCGATCTCACGAGTTGATCAAGGACTTACTCCATATAATCTTCCTTTCGATAAACCCATATATTCCGTGACATGTGGCTCATCCGGATTTTCCAAGTCGATTCTAGAAATATTACAGTCAAATGCGACATAGGAATTGGAAAATGTGGATCGGGATTCCGATATTGGGCCAGGTTGAGCGAGAAGAAACACGAGAGATACAATCGAAGACCGTCAAGATGGAAATGCGCGCCTCATCCTCTGTCAGCGTCTTCATCGGACTCGACCATTGGGTCGACCTGGGTTCTACTAGTAGAAGTTCTACGAACGCATTCAAAATTACAGCGCACAATATTTAGAGGATTGGGTGCCAGAGAATAACCCCGATGTCCACGATTCTCTAACCATTTTCTGCATTCCTTTTCTTCCTGTAACATTTTATGCGTTTCTCCACCGGATCGCAGGACAAACATAAGCGCTTCATCATCCAGAGTCTGATCCCGTTAAATAGATACTTCTCTTCCCCAACCTCTAATTTTTCATCGAGAGCCAAAGGACCCGCTAATGCCAACGGGAACCCATCGCTGCCTGGCGGTGATCTCACAGATCCAATCTGGATTCAATATCACAGATTGGATCCTGAAAATCATGCCCGCTTTCTGCAGAGCGTCGCTCTATTGGTGCCTTTAGCAACGTTGCTCCAGCCGATGGCGCGGCAGTGGTGCTTGTGGGAACCTGCACGTGCTGCCTGCAAACATTGCCCCCTTCGACGGTTTAAAATCTCTGGCGCTTAAATACGGGAACCTGTCTCGTCCCGCCGCAAGTAGGATTTCTCCTCTGACGTCGCTCCTTCGCTTTCTTCGATTCTTCTTCGCCTCGTTCCAACAGTTAGATTCGCACTCGCTTCGTTCGATTGGCTCGAGATTCATTCTCCTATGCGTTTATACAGGGTGCACCAAATGTTCTTGCCGCGATATTTTAGGTTATAACTTTGCTGTATTTCATCCCAATTCAATCAATTTTTTATCAAACAAAGCAAACATATATGGCAACAACACATTGTAAGGATTTTTCGAAATGTCCACCATCGGCTGAGATACAGGATTTCAAACGCGATGGAAAGTTGTCCACAGTGGCCGTCAGCTGTTTGACCTTGATGTCGTCTCAAGACTTAAGCAAACCCTTCTTCAGCGAATCCACACTGCTGTGCGATGTCGAGCAGACCTTCTACTTCAAAGTGGACCACACGGCGTAATCCATAGGGTGAGATCTGGTGAGTTTTGAGCACCAGACGTCCTTCCCCCCCCCCCCACCCCC